CGACTCCTGAGAGGCGCCGCCGCCTGCGGGGTGCCGCCCGCCCGCCGAGGTTCCAGCTCGCGCTCCGGGGGTCGGGCGGGCGCTCTCGGGCGAGGGTCGCCGTGTCGGCCCCGCTCGCCTCCTCGGCCCCGGCGCCGCCCAGCCTGCCACCCCAGCCCCGCGGCCCAGTTGTCCTGGAGACTCGACATCGCACACACCCCACACTGAAAGACACGTAGCTTTTGTTTATGATTATAAAATTGGTTAAGTGCTGATTGTACAAAACAGAAAGGACAATGAAGATATTAAAAATCAATCCCACCACCCACAGAAATCACGGTCTATTACTCTATGTGTATGCATATTTTATGCGTTTTTGTGCCTCTTTTCATTCAGCGCTAAATTATGAGGTAGCTTCCATTGTCAGTCCACATACTAAACGTGTATTATGACGCAACCAGAGCCCAACATAGTGATGGATGCGCTGTCAATTTCACATGTGCTGCAGAAAACTAAATGGCTCGTTTCTGGTTGTTTTCTTATGATGGATTCCTGGGAGTAGAATTACTAAGTGAAAGGGAATGAACAGTTTTTAGCTGTTGATATATGTTTCCAGACTGCCCTCCAGCAAGGTTTTCTATTCCCTTACACTTCCACCTGAAGCGAAACAGCTACACTGTAAATCAGCCACGTGACTTTGGTCAAGTAGCCAAGCAATAAATGTTGCTTGAATCAGTGTTGAGTGTTACCGAACCATCCACGTTCTCACCCCTTCTCAGGGGAAACAGACCCCAAGCTTATCGGAGGGCTACTGAGGCCCCAGGGTCGACTCTAGGCTTATCTGGCCACACCACCCACCCCTAACGACCTCCTTCCTCCTGCGCCAGACTTCTCAGTGTTTCCACTGGGAAGGTCTATGATGGAGGGGAGAGGGTCTGTTATGACCACAGTGACCTGCAAGGAGAGACAAAAATGCAGATTCTCCAACCAGAAGGACCTCTCCCCCTTTCCAGGGAAACCTCCGTTTGTAGCCCACGTGCCTTCCAATCCCAGCGGTCAGAAGGAGTCAGCACCTCTCCTGAGCACCTTGAAAACCAGCAACTCCTACTGGATATTTGCCCCAGGTGGGGCCTTACCAACTGGCTTCAAATTAAGATTAAAGTGACAATGCTTTGCAGGGACAGGTTTTGAGGATTTCCTGGAAGCTGAGGGATTCTTTGGGCTGTTGCTTTTGGAATATGAGGATCCAAACAATGGCAGCAAGACCTTATGTCTGTGTTGGGGGTCGGAGGGTGTATCTCAGGACCTCTTCAAGTAAACGCTCTTTATCTTCATCTGGGGTGTCTTGCGGTCTCTAGAGCGGTGGTTGCAACCCTGGCTGTACATTGGAATCACCTGGCGGGGGCGGGGGGTGAATATCAATGCAGGGGACTTGTGCCTAGCGATTCAAATTACAAGTTGACCCTAGAACAACGCGGGTTTGAACTGCGCAACACGGGTTCATTCATACATGCGTATTTTTCAATAGTAAATGCTACATGGTCCCTGGTTGGTTGAATCTGCGGATAAGGAGGAACCGCGTTTATGCAAGGCCAACTCTACGTTAGGTGAGGATTGACCCCCACGTTGTTCAAGGGTCAACTAATTGATCTGGTTTAGAGCCTGAGCAGTTGGTGTTTTGTAAATTTCTCTAGGTGATTGTCACATGCAGCTAGGGTTGAGAGGGACTTTGAGGCATTCCTGCCTCAGTCCTCTTCCTGAGGAGGCCAGAGGCTGCAGGTGATCCTGAGGAAAGAAGGTCACAGAGTGAGGCTGGGGGAGATGGGAGGTGAGGATGGCTTTTACCCTAAAGACCCCTCGACCAGAGCTAGAGACATGCGGCTGGGCAGACAGTGCCTGATGGAACAACAGAAGCCAGATCACAGGGAGGGCAGATGGCAGAAAATGCCCAGAGGGGGTGGATTTCCTCTCTGGAAGGGGATGGTAAGGGTATATCTCCTGAACAACTGGTTTGACAGCCTCCAGGCAAGGGTGATGGAAGGCAGAGGGAAGAGGCAAACCCAGAGAGAAACGGAGGCAGGACCTCTGAGCCTGCTGTCTCCATATCCTGGTCCCATGCCCAAGGCCCTCTCCTCATTGCTCCCTAAGCCACTCCAAGATCCTTTTGAAGCTTAAGCTATCTTGGATTGTTTCTATCACTTTTAACTGAAGCCCGACTAGTAAAAACTTCCTGAGGTTAAATTCTCCATAGGAACAAATAATTGGGACCAGTGGGATGGTCCCTGGAAGATGCTGTGTGGGCCAGGGCACTGTGGAACCCCAGAGGACACTGGGACCAGTTCTTATGGGGTGGGTGTGCTTTGAACACCAGGACTGGTTGGTTTGAGCAGGGGCACACTCACTTGGGCTAGGGCAGGAGGAGGCTGGCACTTTCACTGTGGCCTGGCTGGTGCTAGCACATTGTCTGAGAATGGTAGTAGGACAGGGGATCTTGGCTGCAAGCAGTTGAAGTCCTTGAGTGATGGGTCTGGTTTCTGGCTGTGGTGGTAATGGCATAAGAAACAGGGCTGACTGATTTTGAGGTAGTTTGAGCTGTAGTTGTGGGAGGGAGGAATAATGCCACCTCGATGGGGTAAACACTCCCATCTGCGGTAGAAGGGAAGCTTGAAAGACAGGTCCTAAGAGGTAGGAGAGGGAATGCCTGCCTCTTGAGACCAGATTTGGAGAAAGACAGGAATCTGGGTGCCTATTACATTGTGAGCATGGAGGTGGAGTCTGTTCAGGACAGGAACCCCTGAGGGTTCATTCACAGAATGAGGCCTTTTTCAGATTTGTGTGCCCATTTTCTTATCTGTTCTCCCTAGTACTCTCAATGAAGGCATCAAATCTGAATGAATCCTTTGCTTCAGCCTCAGAGCAATTCCAAAGGATCAGCAGAACCATAGCTGGGCTGGTGTTTTCAACCCACCACCGAGTGTCTCAGAGATTGGAGGTTATCATGAAGCTTTCAGTAACAGGGAGATGATTTAATCAGGCTAGCACCTGAGTATCATGCTTAATTCTAACAACCCCAGAAGGGATCTAAAATGTAATTCTAATGTCTCTTGAACTGCTGAGAGCTAGAGTGAGTTTGTCTCAAATCCCTATGCCCAGCTTCCACTTCTGGAATGGAAGCATGAGGCGCTCTGTTGACCCACTGTCCTACCGTAACTGGTAAAGATTATCTTACAAATCAATTGTAAAAGTCTCTGGAAATTTTCCTAAGGGCATACAGCAAATGAAGAAACTTATTCAAGAAAATCTACTAAATCTCAGCGAGAACAGTGAGAGTCTGTGGCACTTAAGCTACAACCTGCTCCCTCCCTCCTCTCTCCCCATCTCAGAGCAATGACTGAAGTTCTGATCTAGGTGCGTGTGGCCAAGAAAATGGGGTTCCTTTCCCCCTCAGCTCCCAGTCAAGAGATATGGTATCTCACTGAGAGGAGCAGGCTGCCAGCATCTCACCAATGCCTCCTTTCTCTGCTCCAAGTTGTAGAGGCTAAATTCCTGGTGAGTGTAGTCAAAAGATTGGGGCTCCCTTCCTTCACCCAGCCCTCACCAATAGAGCAGAGGCTTCATTTCAGGCATGGCAGTCTGAGAATACTGATCACCCTTGTCCCAGCTTACATGCTCATGGGGCAGGGGTTCTGTGTTGGGAGAGGCTTACTGGCAACCTAAATGTCCATCGACAGGATCAGAGGCTACCACCAGTGCCCAGAACCCTGCTCACAAAGCTGGATGTCATTCTGAGAGATATGAGCCACTGTCCTTGCCCTCAGTTCCTCAACAGAGACTCAGAGATTATGCCCAGTCAATCCATAAAAACTAAGAGCTCCAAAGCTCTTCCCTAAATCACTGACTTTAGGGAATTCCTTGGCAGTCCAGTGGTTAGGGCTCCATGCTTCCACTGCAGGGGGCACAGGTTCCATCCCTGCTCCGGGAACTAAGATCCCACAAGCCACAAACCCACCAAAAAAAGAAAAAAAAAATCACTGACTTTATTTGGAACAGAGCATGGGGACGTTCAAACTTAAGAGTGGTCTGAAAACAATGGAGATTCTGGTGGTAAGCAATTAAAAACAACAAGCTGCAGGCCAGCTAGTTTACCAGAGAGAACCAAGGAAAAAGAAAGCTTAGAAGAGCCCTCCTGGGGTCAGAACAAACCTCAAAGAATGGCTTTAACGACTACCTTCACAAAGGGACCCAAGTTTAACTGAATCAGACCCTAGAGCAATTTATGTCCTAGGGCATTGTTGACAATAGAGCAATAAGCTGACAATTAGTGGAGCCTAAAAGTCGGGTATGATACCAGCAGAGACAGCCAGTTTAACAGAGAACTCAGGGAAAGA